TTGTACTGTCTTCGTGTATACTTTGAGGTATCCTCGTAATAACCTTATATTACTGGTGTATATACCGAATAATGTATTGGATATATTAGCGATATTTAACCATATGTTCGAATTGTCGCCTGTAACAAAACCATTTATATTAGCAATATTTAACCATTGAGCATTCTTGAGGAAACAACCTGACTAAAACAGCAGCGTTCAAAAAGCGGATATTCTCTATTGCCCATGAAACTAATGTTGAAAAAAACTTACCGCCCAGTGTGGCTGATGCAGTGCCGTCAAACCTCCCTCTTGTGAATTTCAAAGCGAGGCATGTTTTTCCAACTGCCGATTCACCAATAATAACCAATTTACACCTCTTCTCTGAAACCGGCGCACTATTTGTTATATTCATCCGCTCTATTTTATCTTAACACTTGTATTGTCTAAAAAACTTGTTATCTATAATAAAGTTATCGATAAGTTGTGAACTATTTTCTTTCTCAAATCAATAATCGGAGGTATGTGATGTAAGTAAGAAGTAGATGATTTTTTTTTTCCATTTCCGTCCACGTCCAGTGATTCATTGGCAATACTACCGCGGTTGAAGTGCTAAGGTGAAACGCCCCGACTAAAAATGCGCAATGAATAAGAAGGATCAATTACAAACCTTAATTCCAACTGTCGCAAATAAAAACAATCAATAGACCGGTGCTCAACTCAGTTCAAAATCATGATAAACAACTATACGTTTGGTGTGGACTTCTTCAAGGACAAGACGTAGATACACTATATAGTCGTTCCAGCGCGACGGAATGCCTTGTCATCTGACTGAATTGTTTATTGACTCGTTTAATCATGTTGCGGAATTAAGACAATTGGGTCACGGACTTTAGCAGTAAAGACGACGTAGCACGTGTGTACATAGTGGGACTCAAGTGGCTGTTTTACCGCCCCATAGAAATTCCACTTTGGCTCGTAACTTGAGGGCAACAGAAATCACTTCAAGTGTTCCAACACGTTGCTTAGGAAGACTTTGATACATGTAGGGGTATATTTCAATATATACAACGACTTCTGAATTGTCGAAATTTACTGTACGTTAATATTCACCATTATTAGCATATATAGCAGTAGATTACCACAGGAAACATAGAAAACACAATGGGATAAAATATGGTACTTGAACCATAACAACACCGTGACGGCATAACGTTTTTACCTTTGGAATAAAACTCATAAATAACCCATGTAACGCGCTTCGTTGCACAAACCAAGTCATACGGTAACAACTACCATGGAAGATTATAGATTACATTATATATATTCCCACACTGTCTAAACATGTGTTGTTTGATGTAAAGTGAAATACTAAAAGTTAATAAATGACACAAATAAACAAATACAAAATGTATATTGTGAATAATAGAGCAATAGTAGTTTTGAAGCAACTACAACGCCAGTTAGAATTTAAAACACAGTATTCATAACATTACTACTTCGTTATAGAAAACTTGTTTTACACTGTGGGCCTCCACGTTTCAAATTATTTAGAGTTAGAGTTAGCTCGTTACATGGACAGACAAGTTAATATGTCATTCATTGAGCTATACCTCGTTTGGTGCCATGAGATCTTTGTCTTTTGTAACAGGAAGTAGTGCTAGCTAGGAATGATAAGCATGTATGCGTGAAACACCGTTATACAGTTGATATTTTTGAAATTTCTCTACAGCTATATGAATGCTATTATACACCGTGGTAATTTAAAATACGACGTATTAATAACCATGAGTAAAACTCACACAGAAAGGGATAAGAACACACAATAGACATTTAATTGAAACCTGCGCACATAAAAGTCATTCCTAATCGAGCAATACCAAGTGCAATAAAGATCTCTTGAAGAAGGTCAGGTGATTTCACCCTGCAGTGCATACCAACATACTTGTAAGAAGTGGGTAAATGTTTTCAGGTATTAGAGTTAGTTGCGTGTGTACAGCAAATATATATTTACCGTTTTTCAATATATAACACGGTTCGTATGTGAAGACCGTTCTGGAGAGTGTCTGATTATCATCTGACACTTTAACATACTGGTGGATTGCCAAATGATAAGAATAAGAAAAAAACTCCAAAGATTATTGTATTGTATTGTATTGCACATGTCCTGTTCAGCGGTATCTGACGGTTGTGGTGATCAAGCGGGAGTGGGGGTGGATTGAAATGTTCTTCTGTGTGTAACAGAACAATCACACTGTTCGTGCTGTATTTCATACTAACAAAGACAGAATGTCCATTCCAGTTATCATCACTTGTTCTAGTTTAATGTTTCCGAATATAATTGTTCAATAAAATAAACATGCACAGTTACAAAAAACAGGGTTTTT